GCTGACTGGCATAAAAAAGCTGCTCATAGTAAAGTAATGAAAATTACTCACATACATATAAACAATTCATTTATCATTTAAAATCCACATGATGCTTTGCCTTCTGGCCTAATCAGCATTCTTTAAGGACCAAACAGCAAATAAACTACATTTACCAGGTGTTGTAGTTCTCAATACACAAATATGTTTGTCTTTTAGGATTAAGGAGGACTTAAACTTACTATTTGAGCATTAAAATCCATTTTTTTCCTATCTGTTTATATGTCACACTGTACTGAAGTAACCTCAACCCTAATAGTCCCCCTCTCTCAGCCAGTCAACAAAGCATTAGTGATGACGTGTCCAGCCCAAGCTGGAGCTCTTTGTCCCCACAGTCTTCCACTCATTTCATTGTCCCTGTTCGGATGCTGGTGGGAAGGGCGTGTGCAGCGGGGGCAAAGCAGATGTCAGGGTGAGGATGAATAGCACCCTGAGGGGAAGGAGAGAGATAGCTAGAGTAGCATCGATACCCAGGAGACCCAGGCAGGCAGGGAGGCAGGGCAGGGATCTGTTTCAAAGAGGAATCAACTTGTCCTTGGCTTCTGAATGACGCACACCCACACAAGGATAGAGATAACGTGGAAAAACAAACTGAGGTGGTGCACAGCTGCGGCTTTTACTTGTTGAGTAATCAAATATTTGGCCATGGAAATGCTTTGATAAGAAACTGTATCAAAAAGAAAGAGAAATATGTCTGTTTTATTAATGGATTTTCATGTTTCTGCACAGGTTTTTTAATAAAATAGCACTATCAAAGTGGTTTTCTCCTCTCCCTATTCACTTAACTGACTTTGAGAAGTATTAAAACACTCTAAACAAATAAAAGCCAACAGTGTGAGGCGCATCCACACCAAAATGGCTATGTGACTTATGCAGCTGCGGCAAAGCTTTTGTCCTTCACGCAGAGGAGCATAAACACACACACAAACACACACGCTCTGCAGGAGGGCTACCCTGTCATCTCACTGGCAATAAAGCGGGTCCCAGATGTCTGCCCCCCTCTGTTAGCAGACACACAAGCTTGCACTGTCACTCACCATGCCTTTGTTCTCCGACAGCAACATATTGCTTGTACACAACGTTCAGTTTCAGAGTACATAAATGTTACCACAGAGTCGGAGGACAAACCTTTGGTACAAAACAGAGTGCAAAGTAAAGAGACTGTAAGTGCTTTGTCAGAACAAAGATACTCTGTTAATGTTTAAGCCCAATCGAAACAGAAAGCTATCATGGCCCGTTTACAATGAATGATAACATTAATAAGAGGTGCACAAGCATTCACTTGTACATATTCAACTGAGGTCATGTTTGAAAAAAAGATTTAGCACATTAGATAGAAATATGTAAAAATGAAAGATAACGAGTATAGAACAGTGAAACATGTATATCAAACCATATCCATATTGTACTGAAATGGTGGAAGTTGTATGTTTTTAAATGTAGATTATGTATATTGCGGATGTTATAGTTGTATACATGATAACATAGTGTTAATTGTATTGTAAAAGATGCTAATTCAACCATAATAATGTATAGTGCTTGTTGAAGTTGTAATTATAAAATTGATCATGTTTACTACAGAATGAAACAGAAATACTCTGTGACAGACTATGTGTGTTTCACAGCTGAGGGTGAACAGTAAAGGATCCATATCAAACAAAAGATAATGTATACTGCACAGTGTAAACTGAAAACTGAACAATTGTAATATTGCATAGCTTACCATGCTCATAGCACAATCTAATGTATGATGTACATTTAAAGATGTAGATTGTACATTATGTAATGCTCTCTACATCATACAATGTATAATGCTTTCGCACAATAGATAATGCATAGTGCACAGTATAACGTACACTGTATGATAGATAATGTATGCTTGATGGTAGAAAGTGTAATTTTCACAGTAACATATATTTAACTGTAGATCATGTAGATTAGACAGTAAACATGCATCGAATTTGAGTATGTAGCCATTTGAAATTATACATGAAATTGTAAAAGATGTATAACCAATTAGAGATAACCTACATCACACCCTAAAAGTTGTTATTGACAATGTACTGTATAGTGTACAGTGTTTACCTGGAAATTATTGTACATTTTAAATAAAGTACTTTACATCATTACTGTACATTGCACAGTGTACAATGCTTATTGCACAATAGATAATGCTTACTGCACAGTATATCATGTACATTATGTGACAGACAATGTAGATTACAAGGTAAAAATGCATATTGCAAAATGAAAATGTGTATCATACAGTTTAATATCTATCTTGTATGTAAAGTTATGTGCACTGAACAGTAAAAGTAGCTTTTTGTATGATAATGTATATTGCACTGTATACGATGTATACTGTGTAGATAATGTTGACTGCCTGTTTAAAGGTCTCAAGAGCTCAGAAGATGTATGTAGCTCAGAAAATAATGTAGAGAAAACGCTAGAAAATTTAGCAAAGTAGGAGATGTTTGTCGCAGAGAAGAGAGTTAACTGCAAGTTTAAAAAAAGGTAAATTACACAACAGATAATGTTCTAAGACAACACTGATATAGGTCACTTTACTTTTTGTCTTCGCATTATCGACTTTAATCTTCTCATCTCATTTTTGTCTTATCGTTCTGTGGTAATCAGCCGCTCCTTCCAGAACCTTCCACCTAATCAAACCATCTCTCCAGTTGCTATGACCTCAGTTGCTATGTGGGTTGGAGACCAGGGCAGAAAATATTACAGGGCAGTTTCATCAGTGCTGCGCTGAAACTCCAATGCAATTCTTAGATGACAATTTGATGACGTTCTGACACATGCTGCAATACTGTTTTGAAAAGTGACTGACTGTTTAATCAAAATAATATTCATATTGATGTTTAATGCATCTTAATTTGCATTGAAAGTCCATTTTCATGATTTGGCCTGCCTTTGGGAAATTTTGGAATTGAGTGGGGCATTAGTCTCTTCCTCCATTAAGGGTTATTAACCGGCTTTAAGAGCGATAAAAGAAAAACAAATAACACATGTGGTTAGATGTTTTCCGAACCTTCTAATCAGGACGTGAGAAACGTGTCAAAACATCTTGCACAAGTGAGTCATTGCTAAACCATGTCCTGGGAGGATTGCAAAACTCTGTTAAATCTGGATCATTTGTGTTGTTTGTTGCTTTTGGATGGTTTTCCTTCACCTCCCCACACAGATGATATTTTCATACAAAAGAAACCACACTGGGCCGTTCAGTTAGACACACCCTGGGAATCTTCGGCCTTCTCAGGGAAAGATTCAATATGAAAATCAAGCAAGTCAGAGTTTGTCCCCAAAAGAAAGAAAAAAAGACTGTGTGAGGTTAAGAAAACAGGGCGAAATCTGACTTAAGCCCTCATTGTGTAAATTCAAACCATGATACCCGCACTCCTCAGCAGCTGAGGCCTCACTCTAGCCTGTGTTTATGCAGAGGTAAAGCCTGACTTATACACAGCACCTCTCAGAGCCATGCATCCCCACGCCTTCGGCTCCTGCTAAACCAGCTCATCTCGTTCCCTCCTTTGTTTGAGTGTCAAAACGAGCCAAATGTTTTTCTTTTTCTGCCTGCTGCTATGCAACCTGCAGGGTTTTCAGAGTGCTGCAAAGGATTGCAATCTTAATCCAGACTCTGGGTTTTTGCAGAGTCAGCTGGTTTGAGGCAGCGGTGTTGTGCATATTTCGGTGCCCTGGCACTTTTCTGAGAAATTCCACGCTAAATGTACCATCTGTCGCTTCCTATCAGAGGTGGAAGCGCTGGCAGCTCTTTTTTGAACTATGGCGAATGGATTGAGAGTTTAATTCCAAGTTTCTGAAAACATCATGTGCATTTGGACGTGAGGTGATTGGATTTGCTGATCAGGGCAGGCAAAAGTCCTTTTAAGGGAAAGCAGCACACGGCTTATAAAATGTTCCACAGTCGGACCAAAATATAGAGCTGCAACAACATTTCTGACAGCCTGCCACAGTGGCACATTTTCAATGTTTGCTCGGTTAGGTTCTCCAACCGTCTAACCACAGATTATTACCCCATACAAGTCCAGTTCTTCCTTTTTAAGAATAATTCAAAGACGCATCTGAATCCTGTTTGCGGAAAGCACATTAAGAAAGTGCAGCTTATTGTTCCCAAAAAGGAGAAATGATAGTAGGGCAGCAGAACTGATATTCACCTCAGACCTTTTCAGCACAGATGGCCCACTCAGTTCTCAAACAGCGAGAGGTCAAATTCCAGTCTGGGGCTCAGAGGGGCTGCAGGATCAGTGATCAGGCTTATGTAGCCAATGTTATAAGATACAACCTGATATTGCAATTTAAAGCTTTAGTAAGGAGTATTTTTACTAGACTGAAATATATACCAGTATATTATAGACATGTAAATGATGCTCTTGATGGGTTGGAAGAAAAACCTGCAGCCACACCAGTTCTTTGTGGAATAGTTTGGACATGCCTGATATAGTGTATGTGACAAGATAAAGAAAGACTGCTTTGTCCAAGGTGTCCCCAAAGTGGACACAAACCAAGTTCCTTATAGCAGCTTTAAGGAAACAATCACATCTAAAACACTATTTACCGTTCAGTCAGAACGGCAAATAGTTCAATGCCCCCACATTAGGCCTTTTTCATGCATCGGTTGTGTTGGGTGTATATCAGATCTACTGAAATCTTCACAGCTACTGCAGGCTGTGCAGTTTACATTGACGAATAGAGCTACACATTAACATAAATACTGAACATTGCTGAATATAACGCAGGAACACAATTTAACTTTTCTCTCAAGATGCACCCCATAAAAGATATTCTAGTGCAAATAATCCCAGATCTTATGGGAACTAACCCATCAAATATAAAAGTTTTTGATTCTCTGTTAGTTGATCTCATGATTGATGTACCGTTGTACTATAATGCCAACCACTAGGTAAAAAATGAACCACACAGCTCACGGGGAATATGATGCCAAGATAGGAAATCTTTTATTACAGAGAAAAAAAACTTTTCTTCCAAAATATAGAAATCTGTACAACTTCCGCACAATCAATTTACATGAACTGTACAAATTTACAGCAGTTCATCACAACATACCCAAGGAAAAGAAACTGAACACGATAAAGATGTACTGACATGAGATCACAAGATAGACAGCTTTTCTTCTTGGGTAAGCTCAGATTTTTTTTTTTATCTATTTTCTTGTTTTGTAGGTAAATAGAAAAAAAAAGGAAAAAAACTGAAAAGAAAAAGAAAAAAAGAACAAAGGATACGTCTACACTTACAGATCATGGAAACTAATATTTTTTACCAAAACAACTTTGGTCCTTGCCAACACTCCCATCACAAAATGGCTTCACTTATGAAAAAAAAAGCGTTATCCATGTTAAAAGATGAAATACAAAAAGGAATACATCTAAAAACACCTCAGGATAGCAATTATTGGCACTTCCCATGTGTAATGTTATGTACTCTACCATTTGTTGTACAGTTACAATACATTCTACAATATGTAAAACACCTCAAATGTGAAAGTGGCAATAATTCAACTAATCAATGACAATTTTTGACGACAACAACAACAACAAAACTGCTGTTCCCTTCCTGTTTCATGTCTTAACATGCACAACTTTTTTCCACAAGGGTATTTATTGAATGTCCGAGGCCTGAGTTTGGCAATACATTCCAGGAGAGACTCCTCGCGTCTCGAAAAAATGTCACACGACTTCAACTCGACATATTTAGTGCATTTTATGTGCTATTTTACCTCTGACTACTCAAAGCACTCTCACGACGATTCTGTCACCTATGTGCGCACAATCTGAATGGATGCCATTTAGATCAATAGTACTGAGGACTTAAACCATTTTGGGTGGTGGTTGTACAGTTGAGAGGGTTTCAAAGGGGGTTTGGGTTTTTTTTAAATTTAGTAGCTCTAAAAACAAGGTCTGATAAAAGTGGGTTAAATCACCAGACTAAAAACATCCCAGTTAAAAGAGGATGATGAGAAGAAAAATGAGGGATGGCGAAGGGTGGAAAAAAAAAGGAGAAAATCTACCAGTGTGACCATAAAGTACATTTAGAAAGTGAGACGAGACGATTATCTCACATCAAAATATAGACCAATCTCAAAAACATCTCGCCACGTGACGTTCGAACACTTCGACAGAGCGGCGTGATGTCAAAAACTGGCTCGCTCCTCTCCATCTGGCAAAATGGAATCACTGCTTTTCACAGATTGCTGAAGGGAGTATCAGCAGAGAGCAGGGGAAGGGGGTTGTTTGGGGAGGAGGAGGGGGGGGGGGGGCAGTGCGTCAAAGGCAATAGCTCTATTACCCATGATCCTCTGAAGCTTAGGGGAGCTTAAACACCCATAGGTCTGGTGATGAGCGGCGAACCAGCCTGCTATGACAGATTTGGCCAGCGGCTAAGGCCCTGAACAACACCCGAAGCCGGCCGAGCATCTGTTCTGGCTTGCTGTTAACCCCTTTGGCCCCAGAACCGGAGTACAGTGGGGGCACGTCGGACAGCCATCACATCCGTTTGCATGCATGTAAACAAAGTTGCAATCCAGTGAGATGAAAACAAAGAACAAACAACCTAGTACCCTCAAATCTTTTCTTTCTAGCTCCCCCTTTAGTGCAGCTGGAGCACGCCGTGAGCGTGTGCTGGTTTTTGTATCCATCACTGCCGAGGGAAGGGTCGAGGGCTTCTGGTCAGGGTAGGGGGGATGTTGAATAAGTCCAGAGACGGGGGGGCTGGAGGGATTTTAGCTGCCCTGGACAAAAAGAGTCCGGCCCTTGCCCCCCTCTGACTCTCTCACCACAACACTTCCCCCCTCCTTGTCCCTGCCTTCCTTACCCAGCTTCCCTCCCCCCCTGCTGATCTGATGGACAATGATATGTGTCACATTAAGTCTACCTGCATCCACAGGGGGTCGGCTAGCAGCGTGCTGGCTTGGCTGAACAGGAGGTCTGAGCTGAGGGGTGATATGTGGCACTTGAGGCACTCTAACCCCCCACGCCAAATTGGGTGAGGGAGGAGGAGGGTGATAAAGCTGCCAGGCTGGAAAGGAGACACCTCGAGAAGGGAGGGTCAGGGCAGCACATAGAACCAGGCCAGCTTACATAAGCCTGTTATTAGTTTAAAAATCACAAATGGCTCATAATTCACGACTATGAGGTCTTGGTAAGGCAATGCACGCAGAAAGACGAGTGTAGTTTTAAAAATGACCTCTGAAATAGCTAATGTGGATGACATAGGAGGCTGACGAGGCCTGGTGTCAAGTTAACTTCTAAAACAGTCGGTTCTCCAGACCTCCCTTTGGCCAAAGTCTCACACAGTCATCACTTAGTCCAGACCTTTTCACCAACTTCTCTTCTAATCAACAACACAAGCCGCCATCTGTGTGTGTCTGGGGTGGAGGGGGGGAAACAGCTTAGCTCTGCATCCTGCCAGAGCCACCAGTGCCATAAGAACGGATGACAGAATGTTTCTTAACATACCACCAAGAAAACTCTCCGCCTACAAATCAACAGCTCTGAAATGTTCAAATACAGTGTAAAAAATAAGGTTCTGAAATCCAGAGTTGGACACTCCTGATTTAAAAGACAGGTTAAATCCCAACGTGGGAGCTACAGTATGAACAAAGCGGCTTAAAAATGAGGAGGGCAATAAAAACGGCATGAAAAGATGACATTCGAGTGGATGGAATGCAGGCGATTTTCTCTAGAGAGGACACATCCCACACAATCTAACGTCAAAGTGCATTCAATGTCAATCCTAACAGGGCCGCATGACCGCGAATTTTGGGTTAAGTTGGCCCCCCTTTTTTTGCTACACTTTGAATTTTGGTGATGCAGGAGACAACAAAGTGGAAGAAGGAAAAGGGGGCACGATTAGCAACAACACAGGAACTTGATTGTGATTTTCAACAACATTCATGACTTAAGAGGAGGGAGGCCCTCCCCTGGAAAAGCTACACACACATGGGTGATGGGAGGGTGACAGTGCAACAGGACACACTGGTATCCATAGGTAACAGGTGTCGCATCACATTCCACTTGCACTTACATACAGGCCAGGAGGCGGATGAGATGAGAGTTTTTCTGAAGATCAGGGTTGACGATAGAAGGGTGGGGAGAAGGGTTCAGATCTGACACCTTTGACCAGCTACAAGGTGAGGAAAACTAGTTCCCTGTGGTCCAAAACGGTGTTTGTTATAGAAAATAGAGATGCTCTTGTTGGGTGTTTCTTTACCTTGAGCGTGGTCTGTGAAAGGTTCAGTCTAAACCTCGACTCCCACCAAAACAAATGAAATAATCTCAGAATTTGAATTCAAGGGGGTAGATCCTGTCAATATATTCCTTAAATTTAAGTTTTGGTGTTTTTGCGCTGTTTTTTGAACATGTACCCATAGTAACCACAAGTCAGAAAAGTGCAAAGTCAATGACAGCCCCCCTCGGGGATGGAGCCGATCGCCATGTTGTTTGGGGAAAGGGGAGGGTGAAGGGGAGGGAGGTGGAGCCAGTCTCCATCTGGGGTTCCTGGTTGGTTTGATGTTGGTTGGTTGGTTGGTTTAGCTGCCCCAACAGTTCCATTTCTACAAAGCCTCTCCTAAAAACCGGAGTGCCCAGCTGATCCATGACACAACAGAACAGATGATAATGAGGGTGGGGGAGGGGGTAAAAAATATCAAACCTACAAGGTTTCCATCACCTGGACGATAGGCCACATCCTCTGCTTTTTTTCTTTTACTTTTTTCTTCTTTCACTATTTCATTTCATATTCTTAGCTTTAAAAAGGCTCACCCTGGTCTGGTCAGATGATCTGACCAGCCACGGCGTGACCCTGAACGAAAAAAAGTAGGCCGGCTGTGACAGCGTGCCTCTTTAACTGGACACAGTCATCATATTGTAGGCTTTGGAGGGACTGGTTCTGCCCAGCACCATCAGTTCCTCCTTGCAGCTGATGTGACTGTCCACCATGGGGCTCATCGTCCCGCTGGGCCCTGAGGAGGAGCTTGTGGCAGCCGTCATCTGCACCCCAGGGGGGCAGGGCTGCGACTCATACAGGACACAGATGGAGCCGTCCTCGCCGATGCGGTAAGACACCTCGAAGGGGTCGACCCACAGCGTAAGCTCAGTGGGGAGCAGCAGGTAGAGTTGCTGGATGGTCAGACCGATGCGCTGGCCTGCCTGCCACACCAGGGGGTCCATCTTGTGGTTGATGCGGATGCAGCGATATCCTGATCCCTTGCAGGGTCTGTCTGGGAACCAGTGGTGCTTGTATTGCTCTACAGGAGGAGACAGATGAAGTAGAGAGAAAAATTTAGATTTGAAGCTTCTTCACCAGTCAATGTAGAATCAAATACTGAAACAATAACTGTATCTTTGATGATAAACATAACAGGGGTGATAACTTGAAATGCTCTTTATTGATGAAGAGAGATAAGGTATAAACGCCACAAATTGCCAACTTTGAGCTGCAGTCTGTGTAACATGGTCGCTGTGTGGTTTTGCACAGGCTTCAAATATCAACTGTGGTTGTAAAGCAGAAATCTGCACTGAGCAAAGGTTCGCCTGTACTTTCCCTCAGATAAGCCCACGTGATTTAAGAAGCCAACCGTGGCTGTAAAAGTCTTGTAGACTGATTAAAGGGCATCATAAACAAATAAAAAACATTTCATTTCAAGGGTTTAGAAGTAGGGGATCTCATAGATCCATTATTTGCTCTTTAGTCATTTAATTTACTTTTTATTTTTGCCATTTCAATTTTTACAGGTGGCTGAACAAACTACAGACGCCTCAAAAAAATTAATTTCATGAACTGAAGTTAAGAAGGCCAATGACAATACTGACAATTTAATCAAAAATTGGCAGAATTCTCATTTGTTATTTTAATGAAACTCATATTTTATCAAATGCTATTGACAGCAGATGCAGATGAAAAAAAACAAACGTTACCTGAACCTCTAATGGATATTTACCCCAAGAAAAAGAATGTATTTGTTGTAACTGTATCTATTTACATACAAAGTCTCATCTAAAGCGTTAATCTAATGTATTTGTTTAAACTAAGGTACAGGGTGTAGTTGGGTGCAGTCATAAAAAAGGAAAGACAAACACCACCACCTGGCCTCAGGTCTGAAAAGCAGCCATAAACAGGCAGTCAGCGGCACCCTGGGCCTACGTGACAAAAAGAAGGCCATTGAATTGCACAATCCCTCCCAGGGCCTGTTGTCAGTGTCACAAAGTCTCCCATGACTGGCTGCACAAAAACACCAAAAGTGTCAAAGTCCCAGTCAGCCATCTGGGACACTAAACTCCGCCTCTTAAAGAGATACGATCCTATTTTTCTCCCGTCTTGTCTGTGTGGAAGTTTTCGAGTACAGTGAAACTAGTGATTCAGAGTGACGCCACTCGCTGCACGCCTCAGGCATTTCTGTGGTTGGGATGATGAGGGGAAAATTAGACTGTTGACTATCTGTTTTTGAGTGCATGAGGAAGTAAAATGGAGTTCATTTTTCCATGAGAGTTCAGTTTGAGCAGAGAAAAGGAGAGTGTGTTTCTCTAATATTTAACCTCCCTGCTCTTGGTCATCTATTCCCTATCCCTTTGCTTATGACGAGGCTCATCCATATTAAATTCCCATTGACGCTAACTCTATTGTCACTGATGAAAAACAAGGAGAGTGAAGCAGGCAAGCATTCAGACAGGGCCCCGGAGGCCACCTGTATGCATCCAGAGGATAATAACACCCCACCCCCCTTCTGTCCTCCCCCCGTGTCTTATCACTGAAGGCAGTATACTGCTGAGCTAATGGAGGGGCTGGCACTCATGAAAGAGCACACGGGAGCTGGATGATCTTTCAGCAGCAGGCTGAGCCACAAAGACAGCCAGCTACCTTCAAAACCCTGAAGCAGCTGGGAAGGATCAGCTCAGTGGGGCCTATTCTTAAAAAACCAGGGCAGAGGGGGCTGAAGAGGAGGGGGAGGATATAGAGAACGGTAAAGTAAGCAGACGAGTGCGCACTTAACCTTAAAGTCCTTAACACACTGGGTTGATCATTCAATAAGGCTGACTAAAGCACAAGAATGGGTTTTTTAGGGTATTTCCATGTTCAGATTATGCTGAAAAATCAAACTCCTGTTGATAAGGATTGCCCAACTAAAATTTCAGTCTGGTCACCAGGCTTATTCATCAACTTCCCTACTGTCTGCACAGACAAGGAAGCCCCGCTTTCAGCTTGCAGACACAACAGTGAGTGATTACAATGTTACCCAGGACAATAGAGCTCAAGTCGGCCTTGTTTAGTGGAAACTAACCTTGCAGAACAGTTAAACTAGCCTCAATGTGTACAAAACAATACATGTTTAATGTTTAATGGATAATAAATCATCATAGCTACTTAATAATTTCATAAAGCTCATACTTTGATCTGATGCTCGGACTGAACACATGGAACAATGGCCTGAACTCCATTTTGTATAATTATGTCTGAAGATGTATAGAAAAAATATGCTTTGTTCACTTTGCTTCTCTGGATTCCCTTCATTTCCTCTCTGCTATGCAGCTGCCTCAGTTTGATGTCAGCCTGTAGGCGCTCACCAAAACATCCCCTCCCCCACAAATCAGGCCTCACAGCCGACTCTATTCAACTCCCAAACTTTTGTCTGTTTACCAACACTATCATTGTGTGGAGGCCAGGCAGATGTTTTCAATATAACGCAGCTTCGACTGATTACTGAGCACTCAACATATATTCTAACATTAGTATTTTACACCTCATAAATAAACTCCGTTTTTCTGTAGCCTAAGTTGTGAGTTAAGGCAGTTTTGTTACTATGATTGATTAATGCGCCTGTATGCAAAGTAAGATTTTCATTAGTTTTTCTTTCAGTTTGGTCCTTTTATCCAAAAAAACAAAATGCATGCAAAGTAAGGGGTTTGCATAAGCGAGCTCTTTATGGAGAAAATGTAGGTCATCTGCTGCTGTAGGCTCTGTTAACAGATGTATGGCGGCTTTAGAGGCCTCAGACTGGAATGTGTTTACAGCAGGAAATGGGGGACAATCCCTTCCAGTAGCACTGTTCCCAATGAAAAAACCCGCAAACATCCTGAACTAAGCGAAAAACATAAAAACTACAGGCGACCTAATTTTTCTCGAAAATGTATTTAAAGTAAGTTGTTGTTCACGTATTACTGGAAAAGGAACATAATGTCTTTTAAAAGGATTTCAAGTGTGGCAAAAAAGGTCGGAAATTATAATGCTAATTTTGTTAAATCCGTAAAATAAATCCAGAATGTAAATGTGTTACAGTCGAAACTATAGTCTGAATATGGTGATATTAGTAGGAAATTTTTTGGATAAAGGTCGTAAATGTTAACATTTAAATTTCCTGTACTTAATAAAGGACGTAATTCGTTATAAACCTATATCTCCTAATGCATTACGTAATTGAGCTGCCTCTTCGAACTCACTGGGGGCTGTTTTGCTCTGTTCTCTAAGAGCTTTATCGACCGAGGCTCACTTCCTTGTTTGAGCCAAGCATCTCTTTCCACTCCCCCTTTTCCTTCTAATCTTCCTTCCAAACAAAAAAAACAACCCCCCGCTTAAATTTGGCCACTTAATTGAAATTTATTTCACTGTTATCGTCGAAAAACTGCCCCTCGACCCCTCGCTGTGTTTATATTCGACCGTTCTTTTTTTCCTTCTTCGACGTGCGCGAACAGTGATGCGCAGTGGCGGCGCTGATAGCGATACTTGAGAGAACAAAGAAGGGCTGCTTCTGAACCGTTCACGAACAATTAGAGGCTAATGTTCGCGCTTTTCACGCTAAACTGTAACATGTTCGGTTAAAAGTCAAAAATGATTATTTGAAGTAGGTTTAGGGGATATCTGATGACATTTTCTATGTTGCTTACCTGCCAAAATGTCCTGTAAGCTTTGGCTGAATGTTTGGACCTGTCGATCGTTTACGTGTCCTTTTACCCTCAGAAATCTCGACAGAAATCCGACGGCAGCGTTGATCTCTGGTTTCATCGTTCCCCGGGCACAAAGGGTATGCATTGAGAAAAGGCAACGGCGACGTCCGCGCGCGTTTGTTGTTTTTCTCTACGTGTTTGTCCAGCCGATGGTCTCTGTCTCCGCCTCTGAGTCGTCGCGATCCTTATCTGTTGGCGCTTGAGTCGTTTCTCTTGGCATTTATTTTGTCGAGGTAGAGGGAAGTTTGTTTTTTCAGAGAGAATCCGTGTGCTGGGACGGTGCAGTGCTGGGTAACAAACGGGTGTTACTGGTAAACACAAGGGGTGTTGGGGGAACCCGTGGTGCCACGTTCCTGCTCAGGCCTCCCTGTTCACTTTCCTCCTCCCGAGTAGGGCTCTCGATGTGGAGGAGCGGGCTTTTATTGCGCCCCCGCCCTCCGCGAGAGCGACGTCACAAGCTGCTACAGCAACAACAGCTGACCAATGGCGGCCCTGCCTCCGTCTGACGAGCCACATATAGGAGGAGTGCAGCGTTCACGTCACCGCTCTGAAAATAAACAGAGGCACACAGCATGAAACCACGCTGCGTTTACTGGCAGTCGGAAATACGGCCCCGAGGAAAAAAAGGAAACAAAAGCGAACGAAAACAAAGAACTCGCTTGAAATCCGCTGAAAAAGTTTGAGTCTGTGGAAGAAGTCGCATTCGTAAACACCGAAAGTAAAGTTCACTAATGTCCTCTTTTTTAGGGAAAGTTTATCAAACGTATAGTAGTAGAAAAAATAGGTCCAACTTTAGGTTAGTTTTCAAAACCAAATCTCTTAGTGGTGTTAGCACAACAAAAGCCCCCAGAGTGCCCTGTGAGCTTGTGCTCTGCTAGTTGTTTGTACCAACTTAATGTAGGAAGAAGCATTTACTTTTCTATGTTGCTACAGAAGCAGCCACTGCTAAATCAGTGGTTCTCAACTGGTCTCACTCTGGGACCCACATTTTCCCATGGTCCTAATGTCACAACCATAGATTGTATATACTATGGACAACTTGGTTCTGCCCTCTGCCAGTATACAGATTTGAAGCCAAAAAGCTCTTCCACGTTTTCTCTCTATTTCCTATAACCAACATTGCGCAGTAGCATTGTATGCATTCGGCAGGAGAGTCGTCGAGAGTCGCTGTGATGACGCTCGGCTCAAACAGTGTATCCCCCCGGGTAAGCTACGCAATCCTTGTACGCCCATAGGCTGTATCAAGTGTCAGTCATTGAAAACATGAACCCCCTTATAACTTTTAAAAACTGAGCTGTACAAAAAAAGAGGACTTGAGCACAAACCAGTCTCACTGTAACTATATGTCAACATTGCAACCAGGAGGGAGAAATATTTATATCTTGTGTAATAAATTTCTAAATTTTGTCCCCAGCCCCATAAGCTTTGCTGGCGGAGGTGGGATTTATGACCTATACTGCAGCCCGTCACCAGAGGGTGCTGTTCTGGGAGTGGCTTCACCCAGCGAGGAGGAAGACGGCGTCCATTGTATATACAGTCTATGTTCTCAACTGGTCTCACTCTGGGACCCAAATTTTCCCATAATCCTTACGTCGCGACCCACTTTTTCAAAATTCAAACAAAGCAAATTCTTTTTTTAATCAGAAAATAACCTTTGAAGACTCAAATCTTTGACATAAATACACCCAATTTATCGAGTAAAGTGAATTTCAGAGCACATGAACTGAGGACAACGACTAAAGTTGCATATACAGAAAATATCAAATTGCACAAAATGGAGACCAATTTTTACTTGTATGCATCTCTGCATTCATTCAAAAGGACCTGAGGAGGACCACGCAACAGCATGGACAAAATGAATAAATATCAAATTGCAAAAACTAAAGACCTACTTTTGGGTCGGGACCCAACAGTTGAGAGCCACTGGCCTACATGATGACATTTGCAAATCAAGTTTTTAAGAATAAAACTGTCAGAAAATAAAGTTAGTGTTAGAAGAAGGAAGTAATATTTTTAGGTGCACAAAGTTGTAGTAGTGTTGTATGAAAATGTATTATGGCTAAATTCATCTAATTTGCCTTTAAAATATTTGCAAAGTTAATTTTTTTTTACAAACTGTCCTTCGACATGCATTTCAGTTTTGCATCTAATTTAGTTTGAAATTAGGATATTCTGAATAACCTGCTGGATTAAAGTGATTCATAAAAGCCAACTGCATTTCCTCACTTGTGGTAGCCCTCTTTTGTTTATGCACAAAAATTTCAACAGGTTGTTGTGTCGGCCTCAGAGTTTTAACATTCCGACCAGCTGCAGACCTTTGTTAAAGGTCACCCCCTCTTTACCCCCCTCTTTTTAACTCTGCTCTCCACTGTGACGTCACTGTTTTCAGCTGTGTGACAATGCATTTCTCAACTAATTCAACAGGGCTTAGTTGGCTTTGTTAGTGGCATAACTTCAGACTGCCAGTTAATCTTTAAAAATTAAAATGAACCATGTGTAGTTTTCAGTGGAGAGCATTTGTTTTGAGGATTCTCAACTTCCCCCTTGAAAATATTCTCAGTGGGGGACTTTAATTAGCATAAGAAATGAGCGTGTGTTTGGAGTGATGTGAGACTATTCACAAAACTGGGTCCTAATCCCCAAAATGTACCTCAAAATGACTTTTCAGGACATATTTCTGTAAAAAGTGGATTTATCCTTATAGTCAGTAAAACAAACATTGTCAGCCTTTCCTAAAACAAGATTTACCAATCGACTAAACAGATTATCACAATTTTTTATTATTGAAGGCCCCAAAATACCAGTCAAATGTTATGACTAAGATGGATCTGAAGTATCTGGATGTAAACAAGTACATGTGATTATTGGCATCTCTTAGCCTGGTTAAGGAGTTTTCGGATCATAAATAAAGAGATTAAGTTGTATGTGTGTCTTCCATAAGCCAGTGGATTTTTACCTCAAAAGGGGACTAAAGACTGGTGGTGCAAGCTTTTGCTACTGCTAGCCACAGTTAACAATCTTAGATGACATCTTTAATCCATAGCCTATGTAATCCCATGTTTAGCCTTATTAAATAAATTGTGACAATTATGACTGTTTTGAACGTTTTCTTACCTCAAGACTAGGGTTAGGGTTTGACTTAATGTACAGTTAGATGTACATTGAAATGACAGAGAAATCAGTTGCCACACACCAGAAGATTTAAGGCACAATGTAGGGCCAGATTTGCTACCTCCAAGTATTTGGGGGTGCGGCCTGATTTGAGGCCTAACGTGCAGAATCATTCAGTCAGTTAAATGCTGTTCAAAAAATAAACAAAGGAAATAAATCATTGCAATCGTTCGACTGAAAATTGACTTTTGAAAACCATGTTAACACGTTAGTCTGACTGAAATCACACAAAATCAAACTTCTCATAGTGATACCAACATACCTGATAGTGTGATTGGGGTTGATTTTCTGTGTCATGTAAATACTGAGTGTGACTATTTGACCACTCCCAATTGAGTTAAGACAAGCCCTCCTGATCTGGAACTGTAAATATAAAATGTGTTTTATATTTACGATTTCAGGTTACTCTTGATAATCAATGAGAGGAGTAGACCTGGAAGTGACTCCAAACAATGGATGCATTCACTGCACTCACCTCAAGCTCGCACTTAAAAATGTAAGCCACATTTACATTGTTCTTTTCAGATTTCAGCTGAATTCTTTTCTCATTTTTGCTTTTTAGCACCTAAACAGAGAACATACAAAGACAGCCAGCTGATGATAATTGTTGTTTTCTGGGGCCAACGTGAGTTTCTGTGAGACCTTGAGCCTGTAAATTCACCACTTTGAAATCAAATCTACAACCTTATAGGGTGTGGTCTCGTAATCTTACTGTTAAAAGAAATCCAGAATTGTTCTTTTGTGTGTGGTCTCCCACGGCTCTACAATCGTTTAAGACCTTAAAGTCATCGAGTTGGTGGTTGGCCTTAAACAACAGTTTGTAAACAATTTATCTGCCAGACAGTTTGGTAGATTATTTACAGGATTTTATGTTGAAAGTCGTGCTTTTATTGCGGCTTATTTCAGGTCAGGACAAAGTAGGCTTACGAGGAACCAGGTGTGTATGTTTGTGAGGGAGTGTTTGTGGTTGAGAAAGAAACACAAAGACTGTTTGTACGACTAGAGTTCATCAGTTCTATTTTTTTTGGCCTTCAACCTAAGTCTGTATCTGTGTGCAGGTAAGTTTACTTGTGGCTGTTTATTCACGTATAAAAACAGCGAGAGTCTCCACCTCTGTGTGTGACTGTGTTGAACACTTGTAAAAAGGCATCATTGAGGCAGGAAGCAGAGAAATCAGTTGTCTTCCCAGGGTCCAGTCTCTACGTGCTCATTAAAATCAGTGGAAAAGTACAGGCTGCTGTGCTTTGTTTGTTAGTGAAACGGCCACAATGACCTGCTGAGAGCTCCAATCCTGATGCAATCAAACCAAGCAAGAACACAGTGATTGGCTCAAGCACTGACCTAAAGGTAAACAAAATACAGATGTGAGCGGACGTCGTATGTGTACCTGAAAACACAGCAAACATGAGTGAGTGTATTCTTTGACACTGACCTGCTTTCACTCATCCTGCTTCTGAACTGACTCGAGTATTTTCAATCTAATCTCTTCATTATTGTTGGTTTGAGTACATTTTTAATGACAACTTCTTTGAATAAAAATCCATCAGCCAAAGTGCAGAAATCATAAAATCAACTGGCTTTATTGCCCTTCAAAATAAAGGTCCCACTCATGTGTCTACATGTCAATACATGTGCAACCCCTCACACACACTCACAGTTTCACCCACAGTTACACACCAACTTGCTATTTCATGTCACAGTGCAGAGAGTTTCGGTGTGTTACAGAAACACATTTTTTCAACATTTCAATTTCGCTCTATGTAGACTAACACCTACTTATGTGCTTTAACGCACGCTGTGGTTTAATACAGCCGAGAATTTCCTGTCACACAAATCATATCCGTTTACCTTAATCTAGAGATTTTTACATGTAAGCTGTGACTTTTCACTTTACCCCCACATTCCTGTGATAATGTTCACAGCAATGAAGCAAAATATCTTCTTCAAATGTCCCAGACCCGAGACAAATTCATAGTTCAAGAACATTTGCTGCATTTAAGCTGGAGAAATGGGTGGATTCTGGCAAGGACCATGGAGATGCACCAATGATCTCTTTTGATGTGTTTCTTTTGCTATAATTAGGGATGCAGAATAAGAGATGGCTATGAGAAAGAAAAGGAAAAAAACATCAAATATAGTGTTTCTTTGGTGATCCAGTGATAAAGTGTGTTTACGAATTTTGCAGGAACGGCAAGGGGTGGAAAAAGAAAAGCAATTTCTACATCTAAAACTCTTTATTTTACCTAAAACAAAACAAAACATCTTTCTCTTACACATATTCCTGGTTTATTATATGGTTAAAATGAATAAATTAATGTATGCAGCTTGCTCTCTGCAGGGGCTCTGCTCCCTGACGTCATGCTTGCCGTGAGTTAGTGTAACTGCACAGCTTTGTTTTGTGGCATCATTAACATAACATTAAAGGCTTATCTATAGCTGAGGATCTAAGACATCATGAGATAATGATTACAGTAAGACCACAGGTTTTCAGCCTATTTAAAAGTAAAACTCTTACCTGGTGCAGATATTAGAATGAATGACGGCCCTGACCAGGTCAGCTTTGTGAAGGAGCATTGATTATTCAGCATTGAATAAATGTACTTTGCAACCTCCAGATTTGAATTTCCTTTCAAATCTTGCTTTGCAGTATATGGAGACCTTAAAGTCCCAAAAAGTGGTATTTTTTATCTAGTGCGCCCGAGTTGTCAACTTGAGGGTGTAATTGTTCTATATTGTTGATTATCTTGCATGTACAACATAATATCTTAAGCATTAAACATAAACATTTAACTTTATAGACTTCATGGCCTCCGTAGCAATACAGCCTTTATCCTTTCATTATTACGTTTTTTTCAACATTTGCTGCATTCAGAATAAAGGTCCTTTCACACCAGGACCGTTTTTTTCATGCGATTATTGCGGACGTCAATGTTTTTTTTCAAACCCGTATCCTGTCAATACAAGTGTTTACATCAGCGACGTTTTCCCTTCCTGTGATATTGCTGCATTTATTTTTCGGATCACGGTCGATTTTTCTGAAGTTTCGCATACTGTGTGTCCACTTCTGACCAATCAGATTGCGTGTTGTTGTGACGTCTGATTCACCGGTATATCCAACATGGCAATCGGCTGATTGTTTACGTGTCGGAGAACAGAGTGCTTTTTGATAAAAGACACAAATATTACAAAGATAACGGCCTGAAGGACAACTTGTGGAGAGTCATAGTGTCGGATTTCTCATATGACGATGGTTTGTGTGCTTTAACAGTTTGCTAAACGTTTTTGTTTCAACTTTCATCTGTGCTAAGTAACTTTAGCTCGTAAGCTAACCTGTTCAGATACAACATACCATATGTATTTTCACTGTCTCAAACTCAATCACGTTGCTGTCACAGCAC